TATGATCATGTGGAAAATTTTATATAGAAGACCAGTGTCAAATTCTGCAAGTATTTTACAAATACTTGATGGTTATAGACCACCGGTTAATAAAGAATATTCACAATGTTATGTGAATTTGATAATAAAATGTTGGGATAAAGAACCAAAAAATCGACCTTCGGCTGAAGAGCTTTGTGAAATTATTATGAAATGGAAAGATGATGAACAGATGATTGAGATGTTAAATGATGAATATGTGATTGAGATGTTAAATGATGAAAAGCTGATTAAGATATTAAAAGATGAACAGGTGATTGAGATGTTAAATGATGAACGGATGAATAGGATGTTAAATGATGAACAGATGAATAGGATGTTAAATGATGAACGGGTGAATAGGGTGTTAAACGATGAATGGGTGAATAGGATGTTAAATAATGAACCGGTGATTAAGATGTTAGATATTAAACAGGTAATTAAGATGTTAAAGGTGATTAAGATGTTAATTGATGAGTCTAAAAATGAGTTATCAGACGACGTAAAATATCATAATACAAATTCTCACGGTAGCAGTACATTTAGTGAAATTTTTAAGAAATGGAAAGATGATGAACTTAACAGTAGCAGTATATGGTTCTTTTTTTTAAAACTTCCGGTGCAATGAAAGGCAAGAACCCATAAATTTCACTATCATTTTGTTTCAGATGTTGCACGGAGGAAAGACCCAAATCCGCAATGTATGCACTGTGTAACTCATTTTGCAATATGTTTCCACTATGCAAATCTCGGTGAACAATTCCCTGTGAATGAATCGCTCTAAGATCGGTAGTTATGAGAAATAGCAGGTTTAATTTATCTTTCCATTCTAACTGATACACAACCTGAAGATTTTGACGTAAAGAACCCAGTTGGGCATATTCCAAAACAAGAATATAGTTTCCGTTTTCGTTTCTCGATATACCGTAACATTTCATAAATGAAGGATTTTCAATTCCGATCTCACAGTACGCTTTTAACTTTTAAAACATTTTTAATAATAAAATAAAATAAAATAAAATAAAATAAAATAAATACCTCATTTAAATAATCATTTTTATAAAATTCTTTTAGTGCAATTCTGAAATCAACTGTATTAATAGAATTGATTTCGTTTAACCACCTCGCTTTATAAACATTCGCAAAACCACCTTTTCCGATTTGTCTAATATCTATAAATTCGCTATAGGGAATCCAAACTAATTGATATTTATCATCATCTAATAATGTTTTAATATCACTGTCAATATCAAGATCTTTATATTCGAATTTGACAATATTATGAAAATTTCTCTTATTCATTTGAAACCAATAGTTAGCTTTCTCAATATCTATTGTAATTCCAATACCATTTCTATAACAGTGTCCTAAATATTTCATACTTTCAGTTTCACCTATGTCTGCGGCTTTCTGGTAGTATTCGAATGCTTTGCTTTCATCCTTCTCGACTCCGATTCCTTTTTCATAACAATAACCAACACTACGTATTCCATAAGCATTACCCATATCAGCAGCTTTCAGAAAATATTCGAACGCCTTTTTTAAGTTCTTCTCGACACCGATTCCAATATCATAACAAGTACCAACCATAATGTTCCATCATCATGACCCATGTCTGCGGCTTTCTGATAATATTCAAACGCCTTTGTTTCGTCCTTCTCAACACCGATTTCTTGACGATAACATTGAGCAACATTATATGTTCCATCAGCATGACCCATATCCG